GCGTGTACGTGTTATTGCCTTCGATTCATATATGCGTGTACCGTGTTTTACGGCCGTCACCGAGTACTATATGCGTGGGTAACGTGTTACCGCCGCTGTCTAGCTAATATTCGGTATTTGGTACTGCCGGCCTATCTATATATGCGTTACGGTTATTGCTGTCTAGTATATATGCGCTCCTATGTTACGCCTGTCTATCCTAGTATAATGATCTGATGTGTTTACTCGCTTGTCTAGCTACATATGCCGTTGTAACGTGTACAAGGCCTGTCTAGTATGTAGCAGACTGCTGTACGTGTTAACTGCCCTTCTAGCTGTAACTATGCGTGTACGTATTACTGGCCTGTATAGTAGTACATATGCCGGTACGTGTGTAGCTGCCTGCTATCTATATAGCCGTGTAGTGTTAATTGTCTGTCTAAGTATGATATGTCGTGTACGGTATACGGCTGTCGACTATATATACTGTACTGTTACGCCTGTCAGTAAGATATGCCGTGTAGTGTTATACGCTCCTGAGTCTAATATCGTGCTACGTGTTACGCGTGTCTAGTATATTATTCGTGTATGTGTTATACTTGCCGTCTAGGTATATATGTCGTGTAGTGTACTCGCCTGTCTATGAATATTGCGTGTACGTGTACTGGCCTGTTCTGAGTAGTAAATATGCGTGTATCGTGTTAGCGGGCCTGCGTCTTACTAGTAATATTGCTGTACAGTCATTACTGCTGTAAGTAAATGATATTGGTGTACGTGTTAGTGGATTCGCGGGGATGCGTTTTTTGATTGTTTCCCCACGAGTTGACTCATGTGGATCATCGCGGGAACTGTGTTAATCAGCCATGTAGCAATTAAAAATTGCAAATGCAAACATCAATATTCAATACATTTTGACATCCTTACGAGATCCAAATGAGTAGAACAGATTGTTTTGTTCTATAATGTAGGGAGGTGTACTGGCACAAAACTTAGCATTGGAAAAATGGCAACCAAAGGGTAAAGACCTCCACGATTTTAGGATATTGAAGGGGCCCAAACCTCCTATGAAGTGGGTTAAACCCTAAATAATTGTCAGAGTGATCTTTAGGCATGAAAGGTAATTATATGTGATATTAGAATTGTTTCAGTTTTCAGGCTTTCAGTCTTCAGTGGGCCAAAAATAACAAAGAAGAATTCCAAAATTCACCAATTTTTTATGGCGTTTAGTAGGCACAAGCGAAGGCGTTAAATGGCAATGTGTTTAATTAGCATCTGACTGTAAAACACTTGCTTTTTTCTAAATCAGCAAATCCTAAGCGCATCCAACAAATACCTCATTGCATTGTTCAACGTTGGGCGAGGGGTAACTCGCTTAAATAAGGCTTTTTTTTTGGCCCGCGCCGCTCCACTATAGAGCCGCGGGTTAGATTGCTCTAACACTTACTAAGCAGCAGCTAGTTAGTAAAAGTACATGCCAGAATTAAAGTATTATTTATTGGGCTTACTAGCGAGGATAATCGTATGAAAAGTGTATTCCTCGCAAGTAGCAAACGCAACATGTTAGAAATTCGCTACAGTATCGCATGTCGAGTGGGTTATGTTCCCGAGCAACGATATATGTGTAACCCATAGGTAGGCTAATACGGACCTTCGTGGCGTATATGATTGCAACTGATATGCCCCCGAAAAGAAACTAAAAGAATTGTGGGCTGCGTTGCGTCTGCGTGAGTGCGTGCGTGGGTGCTTGCGTCGCGTTGTGTGTGTGTTGGTGTGCATATATATAATATATTTAGATATATATATATATATATATGTAACGAATTTCGGTCTGCCGCAGCGTCAAATTCCCGCGTTCTACCCCCTGCAGTCTGCCCAGCGTCCTTGGGTGATGTGGGCTTCGATGTAGCCGAATCCCCGCATGCTGTGGCGGCGTACACGTGCTGGACACGAGCTGGTACTATGCCGTACTCATGGCGCTAAAGCTGGCGTGCGTGTCACGTCCGAAGCTGGCGTGCCTGTCACGTCCGAAGCTGGCGTGCGTGTCACGTCCGAAGCTGTTGGGCGTGGCTACCTGTTTCTGACTCGGGATTGGCGGGGGTTGAAGCCGCGCACACGCTCCGAGACGCATATATACTGCGCTCTCTAAAGCATCGGCAGTTCAGTTCACCGGCAGGCTACCAGTGGACCAGTCAGCCAGCAGTCAGGAACGGGTCAGTCGGAGAGAAGGCACACAACGCAAGGTACAGCACCGCAACAACCACAAGCGATCACTGCACGGACTCGGCCGCTCTCCACAGAGGATCGCCTTGGTAAGGCCTAGCGCCTAGTTGTATCTTGCTAGCTATACTCGGGCCTTACGCTGCGAGGAATATTGTACCGTTTTATGTCCACTCTGGTCTGTTGACCAGGGCGGACTAAAAGCCCCGGATCTATTCCCGGCGTAAACACTGTCATTATTGAGTTGTGTTGTTTGTTCTTGTGCGACTTGTACATTCCAGTGGTCGAACAGTGGGAGCGTGGCGCGTGACGGGGAAAAAAACGTTACATTGGTGCCGTGACCAGGATTGTACACTCGGTAGACGGTTTAACCGTCCACGGGAGTCCACAAGGCAAGCGGGCCTGTAGTATAAGATAGCATAAGCACCTAACATGTCGTCACTGGGTTTCGCTTGTTGGCATTGCCGTCAGCTTACCCATACCTTACGTAGGTCGGGGGGAACGGTGGCTAGTACACCACCCCATAGCCTGGGAAAGAGCTGGACCTATGCCCATGGCTACCCGTGCAAAGCAGGTGAGAGGTCGGGGAGAGCGGAGAGCAACTTTATTACCCCGTACTCCGGCGTCACCTGTAGCGGAACGTGGTGCTGTGCCTCCTGAGGAAACGGCTGCCGTTCCTTCGCCGGTAGTGGGCACGCCCCCTTCCTGGTGGAGGCAGGAACGTCCGCCCCCGAGTCAGACGGGGACTGGACCTTGGGTTTATCTACCGGATCATAGAGCGGCAGAATCAAGCCCGGCTCCTCGGCTACCGTGGCTGAGTGGGCAGCGATCAGCACGCCGGCTCAGCAGCGAGGGGAATGCCTGAAGGTACGCATCTACAACGGCAAAGGTGACGTGCTGCTGGAAGCGTTCCTCGGCCAGTTCGACGTCGTCGCACACCATAATGGATGGAACCCCAGCGAGAGGGCTGCGCAGTTGGCCGGCGCCCTCGATTATCCAGCGTCGGCAGTATTGTTCGATTGCAGTCCCGGGGCAACCGAGGAGGACATCAGGCAAGCGCTACAGGAACGCCTGCAGCCGTTGGGGCGGAGTTGGAGCGCCACCTCCGCTTGGATGAGCAGAGGAAGCATCATGGGGAGACGTGGTCGGAATTCGCCAGGGAGCTCACCATGCTCGTCAGCCAGGCCGAGGTAGGCATAAGCCGTGGGGAGTGCAGCCGTCGGGCCCGTTGGCATCTCCTCCGTTCTGTCACCGACGGGGCCCAGAAAGTGCACATCATGGGAAACGACGACGGCACAGCGGAAGGCGCAGCACGGGCAGCCGACCAGTACGAATCTATCATGCGCTCGGCCAGGCCAGCAGTATCCCGCAGACCGGACGTACGGGTGGTAGTCAGCACCCCGGAGTCCCGAGTGCAGTGTCCGGAGACGCCGACGCGAGAGACACTTGCCGACCATAAGGGCGAGTGATAGGACAGTGCTCAAGCCCGAAGACCTCCGCAGTTTCACACAGCTGGTGCAGGATTTGGTTCGGGAGGAACTCGGGGCTCGTCCCCCACCCTCCGGAGTCCCACGGGTGGCACCGGGGCGAAGTGATGAGGCATCCGGACGGGGGGAGTGTTTCTGCTGTGGGGCGCGTGGTCATTGGGCCCGCGAATGCCCCGAGAAGAAGGGTAGGTACCGTGGGCCTCCTCCTCAAGGTAAACCTCGCGCTCGCCCGACCAGTACTGCCAACAGCCAGGATGCTAGGCAGCGGTCGGGAAACGAGCAGCGACGGGGCCATGCACACCATCGCCGACAGCTCCGCAATGCACGTCCCCAGGGATAGCCCTAGTGAGGCCGCAGGCCGCATGGGAGCTTCCCGTGGAGATCGGCGGCCGGGCAGTTAAGTTGACCCTTGACACTGGCGCGGAGTTGTCACTCCTGGACTATGCAACCTTTGAAAAGCTGCTTTCTGATGGCCTCGGCCTACGGGTACAAGCAGCCACAATGGTGGATGCACAGGAAAAGGAGATACCGGCGGTGGGGGAATTGTGTCTGGACCTCGTCGTTCACGGGGAGGTCTATCCTCATACCTTTACGGTTGTAAGGATGAATCTCCGTGGCGGAATACTGGGCATGGACTTCTTGCGTCGGCACGATTGTCGGCTGGACGTCGCACGGGGGCATTTGACCTTCGATGGCATCCTCCACGTGCTATACGAGCGACCGGGCTTGTTGCCAAAGGTGTTGCGGGCAAGCTCCCGCACGATAATTCTTCCAGGCCAAGGTGGTGTGGTCCGGGGGGACGTCGAAGACAACCCCTGGCCGGTCGACAAAATGGCACTGGCAGAGCCGACGCAAGGGTTTCAGAGACGCTATCGTAGGCGGGGGGCTCATATGGCTCGAACCTTGGTCGATACCAAGGGCCAGGGTGTTCCCCTGTAGGTAGCTAACCCTGGCCCGTCTACGATAGTGATACACCCGGGTGAAAGGATAGCGTGGATAGCGCCGATCACGCGGATTGCTCTGGCGGTCGGTGCTGACAGAAAATCCACCACTTTGGACTCCGTGGAGACCGGAATTCCCGAGCACGTTGTGGGCTTCCTAGACGGGGTTGACCCAGCGCTTGGGGAGGAGGAGCGTCACGCAGTGGGGAAGACCTTGCGTAAGTATGCTAGTTTGTTCACGGCTCCGGGAGAGAAGCTGGGGCACACCAACCTCGTGAGGCATACTATTAACACGGGGGACCACCCTCCGGTGAAGCAGGCCCCAAGGCGGTGTGCCCTAGCAAAGTGAGAGGTAATGGGAAAGGAAATGGGAAAGATGCTGAAGGATGGTATGATCTGTCCAAGCAGCAGCCCGTGGGCGTCTCCTGTGGTCTTGGTAACGAAGAAGAATGGCAGCCCACGTTTTTGCATCGACTACCGTCAGCTGAATGCAGCGACGGTCAAGGACGCCTACTCACTTCCGAGAATTGATGACACCCTGGACTCCCTTGCTGGAGCCCAGTGGTTTAGCACTCTCGACCTCACGAGTGGATATTGGCAGGTGGATATGGACCCGAGGGACGCTCAGAAGACCGCGTTCAGCACTAGTGAGGGCTTGTTTGAATTCAAGGTGATGCCGTTTGGCATATACATATATATATATATATAATGTAATGTAATCAGGAGTATATCAAATAGATAGATATTATTATAGTCTATATCATACACTCCTGATATAATGTAATGTGTAATATATAGTATATAGTAGCATGATTGAATAACACTGAATGTTTTGATGCGCCCATAATAATTGTAATATGCCATGCTCACATACCAAGTAAGTAGTCAGTGTTCTCAATGTCAGTGGCGTTCAGTTGGTCGACGTTCCAGACGTAGTGGTGCCTTAGACCGCTGCCTTGCTTCGTCTCTATCCACTCGTCTATTAGATTTCTGCCATCTATCCGATCTCCGAACGTTCCCTCGTACTCCACGTCAGCGACGGTGTCAGGCGTAAATTTTTCTCTACCGCCGCCCAATATCACCTGCAGTACGAGCGAGTGAAAACATATGGCATGTTGTTTGTTTCATAATTCGATTTTTGTTTTATGGTTGATTTTATCACATATAACATTGAATTTATCACATATAACATTCGATTTATCACATATAACATTCGATTTATCACATATAACATTTGATTTATCACATATAACATTCGATTTATCACATATAACATTCGATTTATCACATATAACATTTGATTTATCGCATATTATTTTATTTTATATCTGAAAAGAGAATCGAATCATTCGATCCGTGAATCGAATGATTCGATGCGTGAATCGAATGATTCAATGCGTGAACCGAATGATTCGACCCGTGAATCGAATGATTCGCGAATTATGAAACAGAAAACATGCCATAAAAACAAGTCTGCATCTGTGTTACAATACAAATAACAATGCAGTCCATCTTTCGGATAATCGATACTGGCCTAGAGAAAAACGAGCAACTCTCGCAGAACAAGCCGGGTAAATGTATTGATATCAATACAGTCATGCACCGCGTTATGTTGGTATTGTAGATACGTGAATGTAGAACAGTTGCATAGCTGAACTAAATCTTCATGTCGAAGAATGACGTTTTCACGACATCTACGTACGTCTGTGCGTGCATGCGTGCGTAGATGCATGATATCGTGTGTGCGAGAGTGACCGTGACCGTGTGTGTGTGCATGTGCGCGCGTGCGTGTGTATGTGTGTGTGCATGTGTGCGTGGGCTTGTATATATATATATATATATATATGTGTGTGTGTGTGTGTGTGTGTGTGTGTGTGTGTGTGTGTGTGTTTGTACGTAGTACGTGCGTGCGTGCGTGCGTGCGTGCGTGCGCGTGGGTGCGTGCGTCGCGCTGGCTATGAGACACGGACATTTAGCTGCTTGCCAGGATCGTCCTCGATCAATTGCAGGGCAATGTCTCTGCATTCGCCCTTGATATCCGCGCCAGCCTCCCAGTTCCTCTCGGCAGCATGAGCAAACAGCGCCGCCGGAGATGCATGGGTAACACGAGAAGTCGTTACTAGTCCTGTTGATTTTCCTATATAAGAAGGTAAGAAAGAACGTGAGATGGAAGATCTGTTTGCATTATTTAAGTGCGTGCATGCTAAGCTATAGACTTCTCCAAAAAAAGTAAACGTTTCTATTCTAGCAAATACACGGTTTCCAAGAAAATAAATCCGTGATAAGTAACCTAGAAAACCTGACCTTCAGCCTGCGCCCAGGCAGCGATCGAAGAGACCTCTGCCAACGCTGACGAACCGCAGTCGCCTCTCTTAACCACCGTGTCGTCGAGGCCAACGGTTCCTTGTTTGGCCTTTACACCGCATAGGTATGCTGTTGCGGTGCCGGCCGAATCCGGGACTTGATAGTCGGTGTTGTATGTCTGAAGTTAAAGTGTAGACTATCTGTTATAGGCGTAAATAGAAAGAACGACAAATGCTCAGAAGTTTTCGTAACCGTAATTTTTTAAGCTATACATTAGCTTCCATGATATGCTCACAAAACAACAGATAGGACATGTTTACCAGGTACAACCCTACAACACTAGCCCCGTAGGGCAGATATACTAACATCCGCTGCAGCCCGGGTCGAGTGTCTTCCGAGCGCGCATCATGAAACACATTTACAGCTGCACAGCGCGGGGAAAAGGCTGTAGCACACATATACGTGTAGGCTAGCCTGTACACGTATCTATATGGTGGTGACGTTTATTCGCTTAATCTTGCGTGCTATCGAATCGTAGGCTCACTCTACTACGCTCCGTGTACAACTATTAGTGTATATAATTGTCAAAATAATGTCGATATCTAAGAAGCACCATCTGGACACCGAGAATGGATGGGCATAGCATGGGGATACCAATTTTTTCTAAGTAGGATATATATGTGGTTCATCAAAGATACACCGGATCTATATATTGTTAGAAAACACATATACACGCTCACACACGCACTCACACAAAAGTATAAGCATGCACGCGCGCACAATTAGCACGCACACACACACACACACACACACACACACACACACACACACACACACACACACACACACACACATATATATATATATATATATATATATATATATATACGGGTTGGGTGAACACATTACTGAGCACCCCATCATGCAGTAGTGTCACCACTGCCACAAGGCTGGTACTATTTTTTCAAGTGGGTGGAGCTCCGGGGAAATCCAGCAAATGGCAATCCAACGGCCGCAAAACAAAACGCTGCAGAAACAAGTCGCCGCCGTACAAAACATTAGAAATTTCTATGATTTGCATGTTTGTTGGTGGGCAAATTTAGATGTTTTAAGCTGAATACGCAAAAATGTATCAAAGACAATGTTCGAAAATTAGGTATATTGGCAAGCATCCGAAAAAAATTCATGATAAATATTAAATAAACACGTGAACTTAGTTTAGTAAACAGCGTAATGATTTGAAAGTAGTAAAGGGGCGCACAATACGCGCACTATTTCGTATCTCTATTTTATAAAATTTCTCATAAAATAATAGTCGGATTTTTAATATCTTTGCAACTTTCATTAGTACAAATCTTATTACATAGGATACAAGTAACCTGGCTTCTGTAAAACTTGTGGTAAAAAAGCGGTACAAATTGTAACGGAAAATTTACTTGTGGCAGTGGTGAATTGAGCCTCCGTAAATATATGCGTACCGTAATCTCCCGTACCGGCTTGGTAAACCGGCTTTGGTATACCGGCTTGGTACCGGCTAGACACGGGGCTAGACACAATTAGCTTCTAATTGGGTCGGCATATGTTTCCATGAAACAGAGTATTCGCGTGACGTCAGTGTATGTCACGCACGAACTAGGCTATCTCCGAAGTTGAATGCATACAGGCTGCAGTGCTGATGGTGCTGGTGGTTCTGCATGGTCATATTCCATACTACCAAGAGCAGATAAAGCCTTCTTTGCATACTACGCATATCAACTTCCGCATCAAACTTTCCGTATATCACCGAATGGTGCAAAAAACCTAACCCTATCCCTAACCCTATCCCTAACCCTAACTATAAACCGACTCGGCTATCTTATATACGCGTGTCATAGTACCAAACACTATCTATGGTTCATAGATAGCCACTGACGTCACACTGACGTACACTGACGTCACGCGGATACTCTGTTTCATGGAAACCTTGCTCACCTTCTACATGATCCAGAGCGAGATCGAGCGCCATTTGGTATTTATACCCAACCCAATCATACATTGGTTATAGGTGTCAGAACTATTAGATAGTGCTGACACCTACCGCTCTTGTACTAGCATTACAATGAATATGATTGTGTTGAGTGATATTATAGGTTTTGTAAAAATTGGTATTTATACTCAACCCAATCATACATTGGTTAGGTGTCAGAACTATTAGATAGTGCTGACACCTACCGTTCTTGTACTAGCAGTAATTTGTATTTCTAAACGTTAAAGATTATATTTTGTTTGTATATTCAAGAGCCCATTAACCCCTTAATAGGTTAATGGGTTAAAATGGGCTCTTGGTATATTGTAATGTAATTTGTATTCTGTGACAATCGTTTGCGTTTACTGTTGGTATCTAGAATAAAGGCATTACAAATTTACAATGAATATGATTGTGTTGAGTGATATTATAGGTTTTGTAAAAACTGTCGTGGAGTTTGTAAATGAGCCAGAGCGAGAGCGCCATTTGTCGTGGAGTTTGCACTCGCTATTGCCACACAGCGTTCCCGTGATTAGACTAAAACTACTGCATGGGTAACGTCATTTGCCATTCCAGCAATGTTTCATTTGTGTAAATGCTACAATATATATATATATATATATATATCAGGCGTGCTTTGCATTTGAATGAAATATTCACGATACGATACATCGGCACAATTATGGCATTTAATCCATCATTTCAGGTCTATAATAGCACAATTAAGGTTAGGAAAATAATAGATTTTTGTGACCGTACAACTTTAAACTATTATAAGTAAGCAGGCTATAACGCTTTAACAATTTTTAATGTACACATATCTTATACGTGTTTGATATACGACGTGATTTAGATACAATGTAGCAGCAATTTTTTTGTAATTTATATTAAGTGGCTTGTTAGCTTGCTAGCAAGCCCCTGTAGGCTTGTTAGCTTGCTAGCAATCCCCTGTAGGCTTGTTAGCTTGCTAGCAAGTCCCTGTAGGCTTGTTAAGGGGGTATAAGCTTGCTAGCAGGCCTGTAGGCTTGTTAGGGGGCTTGTTATAGCTTGCTAGCAAGCCCCTGTAGGCGTGTTAAGGGGTTATAAGCTTGCTAACAGGCGCGTTTCACAAAGCTCCGTTCGCTATATTCTCCGCTATCTCCTCCGCTAACTCCCGAGTTGTCCGCTAAATAGCGGAGGACGCGTTTCACGAACCTCCGTTCGCTAAAGTCGCTCGCTTTTTACCGCACTTGCATGTCCCGCTAAATTTAGCGGAGCGCTCTATGGTGTATATAAAACCCATAAAAATGCAAAATTCGCACTAAACTACCATGAAATAAGAGCTTACGTAATAAAAATAGTCTTGGCTGTTTATCGTGCATGTTATTGAGTAAAAAGAATTTGTTTAAACTCTGCACTAAGAGTATGACAAAGGTTGTGTAACTAGTTTACCATCCATCAGGAGTAGATAATAGGGAATAGAGGATAGAGTTTGTGTATGTATCTTTGCGTGTGAATGTGTGTGTGTGTGTGTGTGTGTGTGTGTGTGTGTGTGTGTGTGTGTGTGTGTGTGTGTGCGCGCGCGCGCGTGTGCGTGTACGTGTGTGTGTGTGTGTGTGTGTGTGTGTGTGTGTGTGTGTGCGTGTGTCTGTTTGTGAGTGTGCGTGTGTGTGTGTGTGAGTGTGTGTGTGTGTATGTGTGTGTGTGTGTGTGTGTGTAGTGTGTTGTGTGTGTGTGAGTGTGTGTGTGTGTGCGTGCGGGTGTATGTGGTGTGTGTGTGTGCGGTTGTGTGTATGTGTGTACGTGCGTGTGTTGTGTCGTGCGTGCGTGTGTATGTGTGTGCGTGTGCATGTGTGTGTGGTGCGTGCGTGTGTATGTGTGTGTGGTGGTTGTGTTGGGCGCGCGCGTGTGCGTGTGCTGGTGCATGTGGTGGTGTGCGGTGTGTGTGTGTTGTTGTGTGTGTGTGTGTGCGGTGTGTGGTGTGTGTGTGGTGTGTGTGTGCGTGCGTGCGGTGCGTGCGTGCATGGTGTGGTGCGTGCATGCGTGTGAACGTACATGGGCGTGCACACACGCACACCACATACATACACACACACACACATACACACACACGCACACACATACATACAACACACATACACACACACACACACTCATACACACACACACACACACATACACACACACACACACACACACACACACACACACACACACACACACAGCAAACAGAGAGAGAGAGAAGAGAGAGAGAGAGAGAGCCAGAGAGAGAAGAGGAGGCAGAGAGAGAGATGAGAGAGGAAGAGAGAGAGAGAGAAGAGAGAGAGAGAGAGAGAGAGAGAGAAAAGAGAGAGAGAGAGAGAGAGAGAGAGAGAGAGAGAGAGAGAGAGAGAGAGAGAGAGAGAGAGAGAGAGAGAGAGAGAGAGACACACACACACACACACACGCACACGCACACGCACACGCACACACACTAAATCTCTGCCATAGCGTTAGTTCTAGAGCTATCTCTGTCACAGCGCTGTTGCTTATGTATATGATAGAACGTAATCTAGCAACTGCAACACATGTTTGTAGTTATCTGCCAGCTGACTGACTGCTTTCCTCCGCTATTTAGCGGAGGCATAGCGGAGCGTTCGTGAACCTACCAAGGTCCTACCAAGGTTGCTACAATCACAATACTCGATTATACAAATTCACATGGATAGAATGGGGAATGTGACGTCATGCTCAATCTCGGTACCTTGGCGAATCCGCAATGCTGCCATGTCTCCCAGTCAAGAAACGCCTCCTCTCCAGATTGCCCGTCGCGTTGACCTTTCATGACCCTGGCAGCGAATTGAGTCGAGACGCCCATTCCATCGCCGATGAAGAGTATCGCGTTCTTAGCAACGCCGCAGTTAAGGCTCGTCTTCAGATATTTGTCTAACAACTGCTGAGACTGCTGATTCCAGAATTCCGCATCTAGGGTGATAGATGAATGCAATGAATGAACGATGAAGTGAATGTGGGGAAGTAGTCGGGAAACCCGTCGCTATTCTACTGTCAATGTCATTGCGTATTGTTGAACCGGTTTAAATGTGATGTAGCAAAAACACTCGCGAGATTTCTGCCCAATGGGTCGCTGCAGAATCTAGAATTGGGTGCAGGACCGACGAGTGAGGCTAATAACTAATAACCAAGGAAACAACCTCCGCAATACGCGACCGCCAGAATTTTCTTGCCAATTTATTTATTTCACACGATGTCGGCAAATGTGAGCAGATCAATCTTACGGCTTTCAGATGCCGGACTCGGGTTAGACGCATGGGAAGTTATCACGGTCAACCCAAGTAACAAGTGCCGGGGTGGGGCGCACCCAGTTTTTGACTCGGGGCCCGTGTCGCTCTCCGGGAGTCATCCTCGTGGCATAAATCATTTGCTAATATTTGCAGGGGTGATAACAGAAGTGGGTAATCTTTCGATTGGAAGGTGAGGATTAGAGAGAGGAGTGATTAATTGTTAGGTGTTGATGTAGCAACGCGGTCATGGTTCTGGTCACGAACATTTCCTATACAAGTACATATTTACTCGTCGTCGTACAGATAATTTCCGATATGGATATTGTAAATTTTTTAAAGGTAAATACTAGCACGGTAACACGGCAGCGTTATCTATATGAATTTGTTACTTGGAGTGCATCATATAACGGGGGTGGTGCGTGGATGGGTGAGTGTCGTGGTGTGCTTGCATGCGCGTGCATATACGTACGTGCATGTGTTGTGGTGCGTGCACTTGTTCTTTACTCGCCTGCATGAGTATGAGCCTATGAATGTGGGCGCGTATGGTTGGCCATCGTACTCAGAAATAATAAGTTTTACCGCGGTAGAAGTAATTCAACCGCGGTTAAATTATGACCTTTTTACCCAATCAGAGGCGGCCTTGTTACACATAATTTAACCGCGGATGTATTATTTTTACCGCGGCGAAATCATGTGGAACAAGGCCTCTGATTGGGTAAAATGGGTAATAATTTAACCGCGGTTGAATTATTTTTACCGCGGTAAAAATAATTATTTCTGAGTACGATGGTCAACGATATGCGAGCTCTTATAAGAAATTGGGGAGCTCAGATTGACACATATAGTGTAAAGTTTTGACACTAAAAAAAGTGCCACGGTTTTAACACTTTATGATTACATACCTGACACCTGTATTACTTGGAGTGACGCTTCAAGTGTTATAATTATAATGTAACACTCGATAAGTGTAACTAGTTTTACACTTTTGTTTTTTGAGTATACGCTTGTGTGCGTGCATGTGTGCGAGCGCCTGTACGTGCGTGCGTGTCCGTGCACCTGCGTACGCGTGAGCTTGATCATCATTGATAATCGTTCGTTGCGCATCAGTATAAAATTAACTACATAAAATATTAGGTAAGGTCCGTTTTACCTTCTTTTGATGAAATGACAACACGTGCGAGAGACGAGAGAATGAAAATAAATGCTGTTCTTGTGCACGCCATTGTGAGCGGTGGCCGGATCTCCCATGCATCAACGGAATTAGTCGGTTGCACTGGCCTCCTCTAAATTGCGCATGACTTTCTATATGTGTTTGTGCGGTTGCTGAAGTGCTGGCAGTCTGTGTTGCCATTATAAATACCAAGCCACGTCATGCACCACTCCAAGCACGTGAGTACATTTACACTAGCCCTACACGTTATCCGCCGATATAGTGGTTAGGCAATAATTGCATAAACCTATATACAGCCGAACAAAAAACATAGCGAAGACAAAACGGGCGTACGAAATAGGTTTAACAAGATAAACCTCGATATAATCTAAGGTTAGATAACGAAAGTGTTTACTTAACCCAGCGCATAGTTAGAATGACATCTTTTGGTACATTACTTAAGATGTATGGCAGTGATGCAGGTAATTTGTAGAGACACTGACACGTATTACGCTATTTACAGCTGCTTACTCCACTTACTAAGCAGCCAAACTACACAGGATATAAGACAAACAAAATACCATATATATATATATATATTATTATTATTATTATTATTATTATTATTATATATATATATATATATATATATATATATATATATATATATACGTAATACGATAAAACAAGTCTCCCGTGGTATCAAAACACAAACAAACAAGCAACCGTGCACAGCGGCACACGTACGCGTATACTAGCCTACTATACCACTGCCACAAATTTCTAAATCAACGGCTGCTCGCAGCATACATAGATTCCCAACTCACTTCCTTATCGAACACTGACCATACAGGGTTCATTTTATAGCTAGCGGCAAATTAGTTCCAATAGATATATGCCTGCTGTCTCGCGTCTACTATATAGGTGTGTAGCTGTATGACAAAATCTGGCAATCTGACACGCTACGCTGGAGCTACATCGCAAATTGCGGTTCGACCCATTTATTAACGTGCACTCGTGAAATTGCTAATGATGAATCCAGTCGTTTCTCGGCCGGTGAGTGATCAATACGACACGGAAACGGATGAGGGGTGTAGTTGTAGGTCGATAGCTCGGTACATCCGCATAATAATTGTAATATCGGATTTCTACACGACGCGTAAACACGATATCATCGTGACATCATCACTGACATGGCGAGCATTTGCTTCCCGTTTGACCTTGAAAACGTACGCATCGAACTCGCGTCCGTACGGTGGTTAATCATCACAGCTGTGTATAATTACACATACGATCGCATTACGCTACTCATGAACACGGATTATTGACCGCGAACATACGGGATAATCGACCCTCTTGCGCTTATTCCACAGAGTATTTTTGTCACGCGTATTTCTGTCGCGGTAGCTCTTTGTTATCGGGTGATTCCTGTAACGGGGCTCTCAAAGCAGATTGGTCATCACAGTGGCTCGTCTGAAGGTGTAGGTCATGGTTGGATTAGAGATAAGGTTAGGAGTAAGCTTGGGTAATTAAAAACTAATTATGCTGTTCTGTTGCGATCTGGGGCGAAATCTGTTAAATGCGCGTTAGGTTTTGTGCAATCGGGCAATGATGTCTGTTTGGCTTTCTTTTCGCTACTTCTGAGGTAGGCGAAGTCATTTATAAAATTGAGTGTCTCAGAATAAGTGGTGGTGGAGTCAAATCTGGTGTAATAAGTAGAAGAAAGGAGGAGTAGAACAGGAAAAGGCACAGGAGGGTACATTGAGGGAAGTTGAGATAGAAGATGGTGGGAATGTCACCAAGTAGAAAACGGAGCACCATAATTATTCACGTGCGCGTGTTCATAAGCATCAGATCAAGTGTGTCACCGGAGATATATAGCTAGTCTTATTATCTTACGGACTTGTTCTCAAGCTTTGCATCGCATTGGAGCATCGTTTACACGGAGGGCCGCTTCATTCATCTTGTGCCTTGCACAGTGTAATATGTATTGCATGAATATGCGTGGTAATTATCATTTGAAGGTCCATTTGCATTTGTAACATTCGAATTGTGCTATCGAATATTATTCTATTTTATTTAATATTAAATAGAAACTTAAAAAATAAAAATTGAATTCTCCCTTAAATCATGTTTATGCTCGGTCAACTACGATGTGTAAATGCGGGTTTTATACGTGTTTGCGTACGTGCATTGTGTGTTCTTATTCGCCTCTTTTCTTTCCTTCGTTGAATTGCCTTCTCCTTCCCACCTCGTGTTGGCTTCTTCATTTCAGACCCCCTTATCCCCCAGCCTCCTGTTTGGCTACGTTCTCTTTTTTTCTACGCAGCTACTTCCGTTTAATCATGCTAATGTGTCCTTTGTCCCCCTGCTACATTTTACTATACGTACATACGCTGATAAAAAACACTTATCAAAGATTATTATGATTAAAAATTATCAAAATTTACGATGAAAAAATCATTATTAGTATTTTCATGTTTTCCAACAATGTTTTGACCTACATATTGTTAAAAAATATTACTGAAAATGATATTATAATCACAAATTTGGCGTGTTTAATTATTTATAGATCATTCTATGTAATGAATTGCTAAAGGACCCGCCCGAAACGAGAATAGCCCAATTATTTTACAATCTCATTGTTTAATTTATTATTATGATAAATGCACGTGGGAGGTACAATATCAAGTTCAATACATTTACATTTATAATGAATCGTTTTTGGTCGTCTGGTGCGCGACCAATATAACAACGCGACCATTTCAACAGCGATGGTAGTGTCAGCATCAACCAATTTCAGACTGGGCAGAGCGAATGTATCATATGCTAGACAATTACTATCGCACAATCACTGAACAGTTGGATAATCTTTGCCCGTAGGTTTAAATATTTAGTTATTAATTCAATATTGACTTAATTATTTCACGCGACAAATGAACGAAGCGAGGAATAACGAGTTGACAAACAACGGGGGATTCACTTTCGTATTGCGTTTACATTGGTTTACAAGTTGTTATTATATTTTATTGTCCTTATATCGTGCCTATTTGATCACTTGTCTGCTTGCATTTGTTGGAATTCAGTTGAGCTGCTTCTTTTCTCCGTTTTTCGATACACGTGATCTTCTTTAACACCACTCCTTTCTCTGTTCCTGCTCTCAGACATTCACATCGCTCTGTTACCTTTCCTATTCCTCGTTCTTCATATAAATTAAATTAATTTCTCATCATTTATTATCTTCTTTCCATGTTATCCTCGCCTTTATCTTCTCCCATAAACTCCTCGCCTCCTTGTTCTCTGTTTCTGGTCATAGATTTTCACCAGATAAATACCATTCGCCAGATATAATTAGCGGTTTCATTGACGTTGGCGACGCTCTTACTGATCTCGTTGGTGTTATCCACGTAGCCGCAGCTACGCCGGTCATCCAACCTTTGTTCATTGGACGCTCCCCTGACCGCTGACGTGATAACTGCATGCAAACGATCTTGACTAATAACGGTTACACTATTTAAGAAATACACTGAAAATTCATTTACTATAAAAAAAAAACGCATCTGGCGTGGAAACATCTCTTTACCTAAATCGACTAAATTGATGACGAAGGCGTTCACCTATATTATCTAATACCAACACTCATTGAATTTTTCCTTGAAAGCATGGTATATCACTTTTATAAGTAAAAGGTTTACATATTCCTATTTGTGTAGCATCTTTCCACCGGGAACATAGAGTGCGGTAATTATGGCTATATGTCTAATATCTCTGTATCGTCGGCACTAACATAGTTATTGAGTTTTACACCACTCTCCTACTTACTGCTCAATTATGTTGCTCATATTATTCATCGGTGATATATTACACTGATATATTACACAGATATAAGCCGATTACATCGACTTTTGTTGTGATAATATACAATGAAAGACGCCACGACTATTTTTTACACTTTTCGTAACAAAACAC